GTTCCCATATTTTCCTCATTCATTGAGTGTTGATAATGTGAAAAGGTGTTGGATTTTTTCAACTATGATTTTATGTGTATTGAGATGATCATATAGTTTTTGTCCATTATTCTGTTAACATGATGTATTGCATGGATTGATTTTCCTGGGCTAAACTGACTTTGCATTCCTGAGATAAGTTCCACTTGGTCATGCTTTACCATCTTTTTTTATAACTTTTATTTTATTGAGGATTTTCATTTCTCTACTCATAAGGGATGAATACCTTTTTTTAATACCTTGAGATAACTTTGCTTGTCTTTGTGTGATTTTGATATCAGGGTAATGTTGCCATCATGAAATACATTAGAAAGTATTCCCTCTTCTATTTGTTGCTTTCTTTTCCAAGGTTGAGAATACTGGTGTTAATTTTTCTTCAAATGTTTGGTAGAATTAATCAATGAAACCACCTGGGCCTGGGGTTTGCTTTTAGAAAGTTCTTTTTTTCTTTCACTAATTTAATCTCATTACTTGTTAAAAATGTATTTAAATGTCCTAAATCTTCTTTAACCAGTTTTATTACTTTGTGTTTTTCTAGTAAATAGTCCATTTCATTTAGGTTATCTAATTTGTTGGCTTAAAATATTCATAATGTTCCCTTGAAGTCCCTTTAAATTTTTCAATGAAGTCAATTGCGATGATATCTCTTTCATTCCTGGTATCAGTAATTTGAATCAGGTCTGTTTCTATCCTACTCATTTTAGCTAAGAGTTTCAATTTTGCTGATCTTTGCAAAGAACTAATGTTTGCTGTCATTATTTTTGTATTGTTTTTGTATTTATTTACTTATCTGTTTTATTTACTTCTACTCTAGATTATATTATTTTCTTCATTCATCTTTCTTTTTTTGTTATATTTTCCCTTTATTGTTATTTCTTTTTGATTCTTAAAATAAAATGTTAAGTTTCTAATTTGAGCTTTTTCTTCCTCTCATATTCTTTCCCTCTGTCCTCTTCCTCTTTCTTTCTTAAATACATTTTCAAAAAAAGAGCTTTTTTTTCCAGTAAAATTTGGGCAGAAACTACGTATCTCTGCCCCCACATACACAGCCTTCCCCAACATTGGGCATCAGAGTAGAACATTTGTTGCAATTAGTGAACATACATTGATGCACCATAATCACCCAAAGTTCATAGTTTATGTTAAGGTTCTCTTTTAATGTTTGGATTCTATCTTTTTTTATCCTCACCCATGGACATTTTTTATATCTTCTTTGAGAGATGATGTCAGAGAGGAAGGAAGACAGAGATATATCAATGGGAGAGAGATCATTGATTGGTTGCCTCCACTCTGCCCCTGGAGTAGGGATTGCATGCATCTGGACTAGAAATAGAACCCACAACCAAGGTATGTGTCTTGACCAGGAATTGACCCTGCAACCTTTCAGTTACAGGACAATGCTCCAACCAATTGAGCCACACTTGCCAGAGCTATATTCTATGGATTTAGACAAATGTAGATTGATATATACCCACCATTATAGTGTTATATAGAATAGTTACTATGCTGTGTCTCTTCATCCCTACCCCCACCCCAACCCTGGCAGCCTTTTTACTGTCTTTATATTTTTGCCTCTTAAAGACTTTCATATTGTTGGGATCATACATTATGTAGCTTTTCAGATTGTCTTTTTTTTTTTTTAAAAAGGACTATTCAGATTTTTATTTTCTCTTGTGTCAGTTTGCTAAGTTGTGTTTTTTCCCCATTCCATAAATTACTTTATTGTTGTTCAGTTACAGTTGTCTGAATTTTCTTCTCATCACTCCCCCTCAGACCAGGCAAACCCACCTCCCTTCCTTGCTTCTACCTTCGCCCTTGATTTTGATCATGTGTCCTTTATAGTATTTCCTGAAAACTCTTCCCCCACAGTCCCCTCCCCCCTCCCTTCTGGCTATTGTTATATTGTTCTTAATTTCAATGTCTCTGGTTATATTTTGTTTGCTTTTTTCTTTTGTTGATTATCTTCCAGTTAAAGGTGAGATCATATGGTATTTGTACCTTACTGCCTGGCTTATTTTACTTAGCATAATGCTCTCCGGTTTCATCTATGCTGTTACAAAGGGTAGGAGCTCCTTCTTTCTCTCTGTTGCGTAGAATTCCATTGTGTAAATGTACCATAGTTTTTTGATCCACTCATTTGCCGATGGGCACCTAGGTTGCTTCCAACACTTGGCTATTGTAAATTGTGCTGCTATGAACATTGGGTTGCATGGGTTCTTTTGGATCGGTGGTTCAGGGCTCTTAGGGTATAATCCCAGCAGTGGACTTGCTGCGTCAAAAGGTAGTTCCATTTTTAGTTTTCTTAGAAAATTCCATACTGTTTTCCACAGTGGCTGCACCAGTCTGCATTCCTACCAACAGTGCACTAAGGTTCCCTTTTATCCACATCCTCTCCAACACTTGTTTGTTGCTTTGTTTATGATGGCCATTCTGATTGGTGTGACGTGATATCTCACTGTGGTTTTAATTTGCATCTCTCTGATGGCTAGTGATGCTGAGCATCTTTTCATATGTCTCTGAGCCTTCTGTATGTCCTCCTTAGAGAAGCATCTGTTCAAGTCTTTTGCCCTTTTTTCAGTTGGGTGTTTTTATCTTCTTGGGGTGGAGTCATGTGAGTTCTTTATATATTTTGGAGATCAAACCTTTGTCCAAGGTATCATTGGCAAATATGTTTTCCCATATAGTTGGTTCTGTTTTTATTTTAATGCTGTTTTCTTTAGCCATGCAGAAGCTTTTTAATTTGATAAGGTCCCATTTATTCTTTCCTTTACATCCCTTGCTTTAGGGGACATATCAGTGAAGATGTTGCTGCATGGAATGTCTGAGATTTTTCTGCTGATGTTTTCCTCTAGGACTTCTATGGTGTCATGACTTATATTTAAGTCTTTTATCCACCTTGAATTTACTTTTGTGTATGGTTTAAGTTGGTGATCAAGTTTCATTTTTTTTGCATGTAGTTGTCCAGATCTCCCAACGCCATTTGTTGAAGAGGCTATTTTTACTTCATTTTATGCTTCTTCTCCCTTTGTCAAATAGTAGTTGACCATAGGGACTTGGGTTTATTTCTGGGCTCTGTGTTCTGTTCCATTGGCCCATGTGCCTGTTTTTATGCCAGTACCAGGCTATTTTGATTATAGTGGCTTTGTAATACAGTTTGATATCAGGTATTGTGATCCCTCCTGCTTTGTTCTTCTTTCTCAAAGACTGTCTTTATTTTTACCTAGTAATATGTATTTAAATTTCCCTCATGTTTTTTATAGCTTTATGAATTATTTTTTCTCTTCAGTGAATAATATTCCAATGTATGAGTGTATTGTAGTTTATTTGCCAGCTAACTGAAGGACATATGGTTGCTCTCTAGTTTTGGCAATTATAAATAAAGCTGCTATAATCATTGGTGTGCTGGTTTTTGTGTCAGCATGGGTTTTCAACTCCTTGGGGTAAATACTGAGGAGCATGATTTTTGGATCACATGGTAAGGGTGTGTTTACTTCTGAAAAAATCTGCAAATGGGCCTTGTTGTTTTTGCATTTCCACCAGCAATGTATGAGGGTTCTTGTTGCTACACTAACTTGTCAGCATTTAGTGTTGTCTTGTTCTAGATTTTGGCCATTCTAATGGGTGTGTAGTCATATGCTTTCTTTTTATAGTCTTGGCATTGATATCTATTGATATCTCTCTAAGCAATGATTCAGCTATATCAAGTAAATTTTAGTATATTGTGTTTTTCTCTTCATTCATCTCAAAAGATTTTTAAATGTCTCTTGTGATTTCTTCATTGACCCATTATTACTTTAGGAATATGTTGTTTCATTTCTGTATATTTGTGAATTTCCTTCTGTTATTGCTTTCCAATTTCATTCTATTATATTCAGAGAATGTAATTTGTAGGATTTAAATTCTTTTAAATTTGTTGAGATTTACTCCATGGGTCATCTTATTTTTGCAAAGAGATTTATTTGATACAAGTTTGACTATTCCTTTTGGATACCTCAAAAAAACTTGAAATAACATGCCCAAAATCCCACCTATGCCATTCCATCTCCCACCCACTCCTTTTCCACTATTTCCCATTTCAGTGAAGTTGCCACCATCCCCTGCATTCCTCTGGCCTGACCTAAGATCTCCTTTTATGCCTCCATCTACCTTGGTCTATAAATATAATCCATTACTAAGTCTGGTTGATTTTACCTTTTTTTCAAAACTCCTGAATTGATTCACTTTTTTTCATTTCCATGGCCAACACTGTCATCTAAGATACCACCACTTCTTGCAGAAACTTTTACAATGTCCCTTCCTGCAAGCTCTCACCATCTTTACAAGAACTATTGAAACTTTCCTATGAACTGGTCTCCCAACCACTACTTTTGCTCCCCTCCATTCCATTTTTCATACTACACTCTGTTTCTACTTTGAAAATATACCAATCTGATGAGCCTTTTGATTATAATCACAATGCATTAGAAAAGCACCCCAGATTCCATCGGGGCCTTGCACAGCAGGTCTGGCTGCATGATCTCTGTAGCCCCTGTTGCTCCTTTGCTCTCCATCCTCCAGCCTCACTAGCCAGCTTTCAATTTGATGAAAGACCATCCTCCTTTCTGCCACAGGGCCTTTGAACTTTCTTCCCTCCTGCCTCACTGAGGTAAATCCTCTGTATCTTCAGATGTTCTTCCATATTCATTTTCTTAAGGTTGTTTTCATGGGAGGCCCTTATCTGGGCCTGTAATTACACATGTATTTTTGTGTGGTTTATGGTAATCACCTGCAAGCTCTGTGAAGGTGGAATTCTGTCTGCATTAGCTCTCTGTTGTAGGCATGGCCCCTGACACAGTGCATGGCCCAAGAGGGGCCCAGTGAATATTTGTTGAATACAAAGACCACACCCTCATCCTGATCACAATTTCTATCTTCATTTCCTATCCATCCCTGTTTCAGAACAGAACTGGGGCCAGACTCACCTCAGGGTCTCCAGGTGGCAATGTGGACATTTCAAGGCCTCACAGAGACTCTGTACTGCAGAGTAGCTCAGGAAGTTTCCTCTCAGGTCCAGGTCCTTCAGGCTCCCAGGAACTTTAAGAATGGAGAAGAAAATCTGCCACCAGGCATCTGTAAATGGGCCCCAGCTGGACCTGAGGGAGAGAGAACCAGAAGAGATGAGACCTGTGTGTGCTGAGGTGGTGGTCATGTGCACAGCCCTGCACAACACAGTGTACTGTGGATTCTCTGAGCAACAGGCCGCAGTGGGCAGGGCAACCACCAGGGCTGGTTAGCTACCCCAAGTGCCCCTCTGCTTTCACCACCCTGGGCTAAGTGCCCCACTTCCATGAGGCTTCTCATTGTATAGCCCCTGCCTCTCTCTACTGCAGTGTTCACTTGGTGGGTCTGTTTCTGCCTCAGTCTGGGATATTCTTGTGGGCAGGGGCAGATATTGTTCATCTTTTTGATCTGCAGTGGCCAGCACAGGGCCTGGCACGGAGCTTGGGGAGGTAGACAGTCATCCTGTCTTCAGTGCAGACCTGCCTTTCTTCCTGTGGCACAGATGTTGTGAAGTACCAGTTCCCAGAAAGGAAAGGAGTTGGTGGGAGGAGGGAAGAGTCTGGAAGAGGTGGTTTAAAGCTGAGTGTTTGATGGGGATGTTGATTATGACTGCTTAAATGGCTATCCTGGTTTGCTTGTGTGGGACCCTATCCTCTTACAAGGATAGCAAGACACAGAGAGGGTCCACTGTAGAGAGATGACAAAGGAGATTATCTCAGGAGAAAAAAATTTGATGATTGGCTTCCTGTGAGAACGTTAGGGTAGACTGCCTTGTAGAATTTCCACCAACTTAAATTCTACATTTTCACACATTATTTAAATGATTTCATCTACTGCTCAATGACTCGAATACTATTTTAAGTTCCAGAGTAGCAAATTATTTTCTTCCCAGCTATCTCTATCTTGATAGCCCACCAGCTTCTGGACCTAGTATATTTCCCCATCTCCACTCATCCTCCCCTCAGGTGTGCAGAGCCATGCAGAAACGAGGAGCAGAGGCTCTGGAGCCAGCTGTTGGCATATGAATTCCACTGGTCTGTGCCTCGGTCTCCTCGCTGCCTGAAGGGGACAAGAGGACCTAGTGCAGAGGGCTTTGTGATGTGGTAAAAGTGCTATAGAGAATTTCAAATATCTTAGTGAGGTTTCAGCATTAATAGCTCTAAGACATATACATGTTGCAAAGGTACAAACCAAATTATCATTTGAAAGTTCATTGTTTTTTGGACATTCAGTTAGTTTTGGAAAAGCTGAAGAATACTTTTTATTTTTTTTAAAAATATTTGATTTATTTATTTTCAGAGAGGGGAAGGGAAGGAGAGAGGGAGAGAAACATCAATGTGTGGTTGCCTCTCATGTGTCCCCCACTGGGAAATGACCTGCAACCCAGGCATCTGCCCTGACTGGGATCGAACCTCGATCCTTTGCTTCGCAGGCCTGTGCTCAATCCACTGAGCTACACCAGCCAGGGCGAAGAATACTTTTTAAAACTTTGTTTTGCTGAACATTTGCCAACTTTAATCTTTAATCAGAAAGACTGAAATGAAAACATAACAATCTATTACCAAAATGCACAGTGCTTAATTACAAACCAAATACATGAGCTGCTCATCCTTACTATCTCGTATTGGTCCTCCTCTCCCTCCCACAGCCTTGGGCCAGTCTTTGTCACTTCTTCAGGGACTTCTGGTATGCTTACAGTATCCTTGTTCTTTTCTCTGCCTTGCCTGGCTGACTCTGTGTCTTTAAAAATTCCCTGCTCACAGCAGGTGCAGCCTGCAGTTTCCCCTGGAAGTCACTCCAGACTCCAGGTGCCATTGTCCACTGAAAACTCAATTTCTCTTGATGCCCTTGACTTTTGCTGTTACTCACCTGACCTCTGCCTCTGTGCCTGCCCAGGGTACTTCTGAAGGCTACCACCAATGGAACACCTGTAACCAGGTTTTTTAAAGACCAGTTCACCTTAATATAAGTTGTTATGTAACCATAACAATTAGAAACAACCTAAGTGCCTGAGGAGAGATAATGGGTAGATAGTTGTGGCACCTTGCCTATGAATACCATATGGTCATTCGAATGGTGTTGTATCAGGCTACTTTATAACATGAGAAGAGAGTTTTAATATAAAAATGAAATAAAGCTGACTGTAAAGTATAATATACAATATGGCTCAGTTTAGCATTAGAAATGTGCATAAAATGAGACTAGAGGATATATACCTCCATTTTTAAAGATTATATTTTATGGGGTATGTTATTACAGTTCCAATTTTTCCCCCTTCAGCTCCCTTGACTGAGCACTCCCCACTACCTCGGGTAATCCTCATACCTTTGTTCATGTCCACATGTCATGCATATAAGTTCTTGGCTACTCCATTTCCTATACTGTACTTTACATCCTGAAGACTATTCTGTAGCTACCTATTTGTACTTCTTAATCCCCTCACCTATTAACCTATTCCCCCATACCCCCTCCCACTGGCAACCATCAAAATGCTGTCTGTATCCATGATTGTCTTTGATCTTGTTTGCTTAGTTTGTTTTTTTAGATTCAGTTGTCATTAGATATGTATTTATTGTCATTTTGCTGTACATAATTTTGATTGTCTTCGTTTTCTTGAATAAACCCGTATAACATTTCATATAATAATGGTTTGGTGATGATGAACTCCTGTAGTTTCTTCTTATCTGGGAAGCTCTTTGTCCTTTGATTCTAAATTATAGCCAGGCTGGGCAGACCAATCTCATCTGTAGGTCCCTGCTTTTCGTGATTTCAAATATTTCTTGCCAATCGCTTCTAGCCTGCAAAGTTTCTTTTGAGAAATACACTGATAGTCTTATGTGAACTCTCCTGTATGTAACCAACTTCTTTTCTCTTGCAGCTTTTAAGATTCTCTCTTTATCTTTAACCTTTAGCATGTTAATTTTAATTAGAACCTAGGCTGGCTGCTGCTAGTACTGAGCCTGGAGCCACTTAGCAAGAGCCACTCACAGAATCCACCTGTTGCTTGTTTGAGAGAATTTAAGAAGTTGTGACGTGTTAGCTGAGACTAGCTATTCATATAGAAAAGCCACTGTTAACAGCTGGGTGGGTCTGTAAGGTGGTGATGTGGAGCCTCAGAGGATCTCCAGGACTGGCAAGCAGTGTTAGGCAGGTAATGGAACATCAGGTATGGCACCCACCTGATGGCTCTGTGTCTCTGTGTGTGTGTGTGTATGGGGGGGGTTCAGAAAAGGAAGGCTGGCCTCTGCCTGACTTACTGTCTGTGAGAAAGCTATCCCCCAGCTCTCATCTTGATGACAGATATCTCAGTTCCTCCCAGTATGCCATTCAAACTGCTTTTCAAACTGCCTTACTGGTGCTGGAGCTCTTTAGGAGTGAGTCTGAGTAAGTCTGTGTGTGGGCCCTTTAAGAGGAAATTCTTTGGACTCCTGCAGTTTCTTCCACTGACTAAATCCCCACTCGGTTTTTTAGCCAGAAGCTAGGGGGACTTATTTTCTTGGCACTGGAATCTTGTGCTGGGGGTCTTGTGTGAGACTGGGAACCTTGCTCCCAATGTCTCTCCCAAATTTTTATTTGCCACACGTGGTTGAGGGACCAGCCTGTTCCATATCTTGTCTCCACCCCTCCTACCAGTCTGGATGGATGTGATTTCCTATTTCCGTAGTTGTTGTTTTTCCATTCAATTCAATTTTTGACGATTCCTAATGATGGTTGTTCTATATTTTAGTTTTAATTTTGATGTGGTTGTGCGAGGAGGAGAGCCATGTTTACCTACACCTCCATCTTGACCTGAAGACCCTATATATCCTTTTTGATGGATGATTACCTCTGAGTGATAGAGTTCTGGCTGATAATTAATTTTGACTTTGTTGCTTATTTATATGTTCTCATTTTTCTACAATGTACATGCATTTTATATTAGAAAAAAATTATAAATCTGAAAATAAAATACACAAGTTCTACATTTCCTCCTTGGAATTTCCTGTTGTGGTGCACTCGTGTGATCCCTCCCTTTGGGCTACCAACTGCCTCTACTAAGCCTCTCTTATCATAGGATTTTTACTCTCTTCTAGTTAATAAATGGATGTCTGTCTTCTCTCCCTATCTGAGTTTCTTTAGACAGGGATGTGCTTTATTAACCTTTGATATTTAGGGTCTGGCATAAAATCAGTGTATAATACTCATTTATGGAGTGAATTATCTACAGGAGAGATAAGTACTTCAAAGAACTAAAGGATCAGTATACCACTGAGTTGCAGAACCCAGATATGGAAATTAACACTGCTGCTGGGATTAGAGGGTTGTTAGAGAGAGCTAATAGGTCATATTCAGATGGAGACTGGGGCAATTGTGCATCGTTGACACACACAAGATAATTCATTTTTCAGGGAAAATAGAGACTCCTTTTCAGAAACACACACATTCTGAGGTGATGGGAGAGGTCTCAGGGCCAAGCTCATAGTCAACAGCTATCAAGGGTGTGCCTGAGCAGTTGAGTGAGCAGTGCCTGGTGGGAAGCATCTCCCTCTTCCCTGGTAGGAAGAGGGAGATACAGAGGCAAGTGGGCTGGATGGATGTGCACCAGGAGTGAAAGTGGCCAAGATGACAGAAGCAGGAGGAGAAGCAGCAGTACAAGCAGGCTGCCCAGAGGCATGTAGGGAAGGTCACAGGGTTAGACACTAGGCACAGAGCCCCAACTGGACAGAGAATGGGAGTTGGCCCTTAGAAGTCCCTGGTGACCTAGGTCCTTTAGCAACTTGAGGTCAGCCTTAGTAAGAGTTTCTCTGGGGAAGGGACACAGCAAAGGCAGTCCTGAGAGGGGAGTTCATAGTGATACAGGCCTACCTAAAAAAGATAGAAACATTTCAAACAAACAATCTAACCCTATGACTCCAAGAACTCAAGGAACACCACCAAAGACAGCCCAGAGCAAATAGAAGAAAGGAAATAACCAAGTTCAGAGCAGAATTAAATGACATAGAGACTAAAAGCACGATTCTAAGGATCAATGAATCAAGGAGCTGGTTCTTTGAAAAGATAAATGAAATCAACAAGCCTTTAAGCAGGCTCATCAAGAAAAAAAGAGAGAAGAACCAAATAAAAATGATCAGAAATGAAAGAGGAGAGATTACAACTGACACCATGGAAATACAAAGGACTGTAAGAAATTAATATGAAGAACTGTATGCCAAGAAATTTGAAAACCTAGGTGAAATGGACAAATTTCTAGAAAATATAATCTTCTAAACTCAATAAAGAACAAGCAGAAAGCCTGAACAGACCAATAACAGCAGATAAAATTGAAGCAGTAATCAAAAAATTTTCAACACACAAAAGCCCTGGACCAGATGGTTTCACAGGAGAATTCTACAAAACATTTAAGGAAGAGCTAAGCCCTATCCTTCACAGACTATTCCAAAAAATCCATGGAAGATTCTCAAACTCTTTGTATGAAGCCAGCATCATTCTAATCCCCAAACCAGATAAAGACACAACAAAGAAAGAAAACTTCAGGCCAATATTACTGATGAACATAGATGCTAAAATCCTCAACAAAATACTGGTAAACCATGTCCAACAATACATTAAAAAGATCATATACCATGACCAAGTGGGATTCATCCCAGGGATGCAAGGATGATTCAATATGTGCAAATCAGTAAATATAATACATCACATAAACAAAAGCAAAGACAAAAATCACATGATCATATCAATAGATGCGGAAAAAGCACTTGATAAGGTACAGCACCCATTTATGATAAAAACACTCAGCAAAGTGGGAATAGAGGGAGCATTCTTCAACATAATAAAGGCCATATATGAGAGGCCTACAGCCAACATCATACTCAATGGGCAAAAACTAAAAGCTTTTCCACTAAGATTAGGAACAAGACAAGGTTGTCCACTTTCACCACTTCTATTCAATCTAGTATTGGAAGTTTTAGCCACAGTGATCAGAAAAGAAAAGGAAATAAAAGGCATCCAAATCAGAAAGGAGGAAACCAAACTGTCATTGTTTGCAGATGACATGATAGTATACATAGAAAATTCTAAAGACTCTACCCAAAACTGCTCGACCTAATAAATGAATTTGGCAAAACAGCTGGTTACAAAGTCAATATCCAGAAATCAAAGGCATTTTTGTATACCAACAGTGAATCAGCAGAAGCAGGAATCAAGAAAAAAAATCCCATTCGATATAGCAAAAAGAAAAATAAAATACCTAGGAATAAACCTAACCAAGGAGGTAAAAGACCTGCATGCAGAAAACTACACAACACTGAAGAAAGAAATCAAGGAAGACACACAAAAAAGGAAACATATATCGTATTCACGGATTGGAAGAATTAACATAATCAAAATGTCCATACTACCCAAAGCAATTTACAGATTCAATGTAATACTTATTAAAATACCAAGGGCATATTTCACAGACATAGAACAAACATTTCAAAAATTTATATGGAACCATAAATGACTCTGAATAGCAGCTGCAATTTTGAGAAAGAAGAGCAAAGTAGGAGGGATCACAATACCTGATACCAAACTGTATTACAAGGCCACTGTAATCAAAACAGCCTGGTATTAGCATAAGAATAAATACATGGACCAAAAGAAACAGAACAGACAACTCATAAATAAACCCAAGTCTCTATGGTCAATTAATATTTAACAAAGGGGCAGCAACATAAAATGAAGTAAAAATAGCCTCTTCAACAAATGGTGTTGGGAGAACTGTATGTTTTCCCATGTATAGCTACATGCAAAAAAAAAAGAAACTCCAGCACCAACTTACCCCATACACAAAAATAAATTTAATGTGGATAAAAGATTTAAATATAAGCCGTGACACCATTAAAGTCCTAGAGGAGAACACAGGCAGGAAAATCTCAGATATTTCATGCAGCAATATTTTTACTGACATGTCCTCTAGAGCAAGGGACATAAAGGAAAGACTAAATAAATGGTATCTCATCAAAATTAAAAGCTTCTTCACGGCTAAAGAAAACAGTATTAAAATAAAAAGAGAACCAACTATATGGGAAAGCATATTTGCCAATGATACCTCAGACAAGGGTTTAATCTCCAAAATATACAAAGAACTTACATGACTCCACTCTAAGAAGACAAGCAACCCAATTAAAAAATGGGCAAAGGACTTGAACAGACACTTCTCCAAGGAGGACATACAGAGGATCCAGAGACACATGAGAAGATGCTCAGTATCACTAGCTATTAGAGAGATGCAAATTAAAACCACAATGAGACACCATTTACACCAGTCAGAATGGCCATCACAAACAAAGCAACAAACAACAAGTGTTGGAGAGGTTGTGGATAAAAGGGAACCCTAGTGCACTGTTGGGATTTCAGACTGGTACAACCACTATGGAAAATAGTATGGAATTTTCTAAGAAAACTAAAAATGGATCTGCCCTTTGACTCAGCAATTCCACTGCTAGGATTATATCTTAAGAACCCTGAAACACCAATCCAAAAGAACCTATGTACCCCGATGTTCATAGCAGCACAATTTACAATAGCCAAGTGTTGGAAGCAACATAGGTGCTCATCAGTAAATGAGTGGATCAAAAAACTATGGTACATTTACACAATGGAATTCTATGCAGCAGAAAGAAAGAAGGAGCTCCCACCCTAGCAACAGCATGGATGGAACTGGAAAGCATTATGCTGAGTGAAATAAGCCAGGTGGTGAAAGACAAATACCATATGATCTAACCTTTAACAGGAAGCTAAACAACAAAACAAACAAACATGCAAAACATAACCAAAGACACTGAAATAGAGAACAGGATGACAGTGACCAGAGTGTAGAGGGGAGGGAATTTCAGGGGGAAAGTGGAAGGGTTTACAGGAACAAGTATAAAGGACACATAAACAAAAACTAGGAGGGGGTGGAAATGGTAGGGAGGTGGGAAGGGCTGGGGGCATGGGCTGGGATGGGAGTAAAGACAGAAAACTGCATAAACAGCAATTTTAAAAAAGTTCTTCCAGGGCCCAGGACAGTGGGAACAATAGAATAGCTGAAGGGAGGGGAGGGGGAGCACTCACAGAATGACACCTGAAGGCCGTTGTGTTTGCCTTTGAGATTCACCCTCATTCAGTTGAAGCCTCTTCACCAGCTGGCTGAATTTAATGCAGAAAGAGAACACCAGGAGCTCCATGTCAGTTTGGACACATATCCTCATTCCACAGAAATCAGATATTGCTGTCAGAAAACTTTCATCCTGAAACTCATAAAAAGAGTGGAGCGAGTGCCAACAATATGGCTCTAGGTTCTGCTGTGTGAGGTCGATCTCCTTCTTGGCCAATTGTAGCAGTTTGTGATGCTTCTCCGGAGACAGCTGGCATTTGAAGATGCTCTCCATCTCTCTCATCCCCTGCTCACTCAAAAGGCCAAATAGAAAACATGTAGTTGGTTCCCCAAACACACCAACCATCCCATATTCTCTTATCAAGTCTTTCATACTTCTGATGCTAATTAACTTCTTATCCCCCAAAACACAGTACATTGCTGCAAAGAACTCCTGAAAACACAGGTGAATGAAACTGTAGTTCATAGATGTGGGGTGTTCTTGAAGAACACCCCTCTTTAAGAGAGTAAAGATGATGTCCTCATCCAACCCATGTTCTCTGAGGTCCTCATGGCTGAACAGGGTCTTTCCTTGCCTGGTGCCCTTAGCAGCCAGAGAGTAGAATCCACTCAGCTTAATCCCAAGGGACTGAGCTTGGAGAATGTGGAAAAAGTAGTGCAGACAGAGGATGGTGGTTGTCTGGCAGGTCAGTGAGAGTTCTTGCCCTTGATCCATCTGCTGCTTCAGGCAAGTGCAGACCAGCCAGGACACCAAGGGCATGACACACATGGTCAAGAGTGCCGGGTTTGATTCGACTGAGCTGAAGGCTCTGACTGCTTGGCTTTCATCAGTGAAGTATGTGTAGAAATAGTCCCTCCTGGCTGACTCAGAGAATCCCAGGACCTCCACCCAGTGTGGCTGCTGTAAAGAAGGAATGAGCTTCCCCAGAGCTGTGATCCGAGCTGTGATGAGCAGGGAAGCCCCAGGAAGTAAGGTTTTCTTCAGCAAACTGCCCAGCAGTGTGTGCACCTCCTGCTGCTGGCTCCAGTGCAGACTGAGCTCAGAACTGTGCTGTTTCAAGGCCCATTTTGGTTCATCCAAGTTATCAAGAATGAAAAGCAACTTCTTGTGCTGAGACAGGATCTGTTCAATGGGAGCTGCAGGGCCAGCCCAGTCTTTTGAGATGAGCTCACCAAGACTCATTGTCCTGGACTGGGCCAAGTCTCTGCAGTTGAAGTAGAAGACATGCTGGAAGCGGTCCCTGTACAGCCTGCCTTCCTCCCAGGCTCTCCTCACCTGCCTGGCCAGGGTTGACTTCCCGATTCCTGCAACCCCATGCAGTACGACTGTGAGAGGCTCTTCCTGGGTACCTGGGCTTGGGCCAAATAAGTCTCCAATCTCAATAAAATGTTTTTGATAATCTGTACTCTCCTGTTTTCTTTTCCAGAGTGGAAAATGATAGCCTCTGGGTTTCGATCTGCGTAGAAGTAGCAGCTGTGTGAATTTCTGTTGGAAATCCTCATTTCTCCATGACCGTGTGTGGCATGGCATCTTTCTACTTTCCTTATAGTATTCTTCTGTGATTCCTAAGTAAGAGAGGGAAAGATGGAACATAAAGGTATGGAATGCATGTGTTCATTTGTTTCAACATTTATTCATTCAACAACTATTTTCTGCACGCACGTGCTACACCCTGTGCTAACTGCTGGTAATGGTACATGCTTACCAGGTCAGTGGGGGAAACATGGGTTTTTTTTGGAGGAGATCCCATCCCAGGTTTTAACTTGAACAAGTCACTGTTGCTTTATGATGTTCCTTCATTGAGCAAAGATTAATTAAGGTCTTACAGTGTCGACCCTGATGTAGAAGCTGGGGATAAAGAGTGAATGAAACAGAGCCAACTCTCCACTCTCATGAATTCCATGACCTGAACTGTTAATCTACTGAGTGTCAGCTTTTTCCTCCTTAAGTTGTGATTGGTCATGATGGAGTGAAGGCATTAATGGATGGTGTAGCAGATACTATCAGGTCCTGATAGTACTCCTCTACACTTTCTATTGAAGCACATGCCATGGATATTCTTCTACAAGCACTGGTGGTTTCCTGTCTGAGGTGCCTGTATTAAGCATGAGTGTGGCAGGCAAGAACCCCAGGGGAGTTAATGCTCCAGGAGGGGCACTCAACCAGTGAAAGATGGCAGTCCCTTATCTCTCAGGAGGCAGCACTCTGAGGTATGTTCTAAAATGTCTTCTGACAAAAGGTGAGGACTTCCGCCAAGATGGAGGCATAGGTAGAAACGCCTTGCTGGGCACACAACCAAATCTAAAAACAACAAAGTTTTAACAATAAACACAACCAAACCACACAGAAAATCGACAATATGGAGTCTGAAAACAATGAAATGCTCAGCTAAACCGGTAAGAGGGGCGAAGACAGCAGCGGAGTGGGTTGGCCAAAAAGATCCCCGACCCGGGTGGTGCGCAAGCAGCTGAAGGCACAGATCCCAGGTGCGGGCTAGCTACAGGTGGACACAGGGAAGAGGTGCGGCTGGCTGTCTGCGGTCGGTTGAGCATTTGCTTGCAGATAAACCAGTGAAGAGGCGAGCATTGAGACCTCAGGGCACAGGGCAGCAGGCTCGCACATTTCCACTCAGATAAGCAGGTGGGGGTGAGTGGTGGGATGGACTGGGCGAGTGGAGAGGACCGCCATTGCTCCCTCTCTGACTCCGCCCCCACATACAGCATCACAAACCAGTGACCTGGGTGGCCCCGCCCTGGTGAACATCTAAGGCTCCGCTCCTCATACATAACAGGCACAAACAGATAAAAACATGGCTCAAGAACAACTCAGAGCCCCTGAGCCAATAAATCTAAGTGATGAAGAAATAGCCAAACTTTCAGATGCACAGTTCAAAACACTGGTGATCAGGATGCTCACAAAACTGGTTGATTTTAGTCACAAATTAGAGGAACATATGAAGGCTAAACTAATTGAAATGAATGGTAATGCACAGGAAACCAATAGTAATGGAAAGGAAACTGGGACTCGAATCAAGGGAGTAGACTAGAAGGAAGAAAAAAATGACCAACCAGAAAAATATGAAAAAACAAGAATGCAAAAAAAAAATGAGGAGAGGCTTAGGAACCTCCAGGACATCTTTTAATGTTCCAACATTCAAATTATAGGGGTACCAGAAGGGGAAGAGGAACAGTCACGAGTGGAAACCTTATTTGAACAAATAAATAAAGAGAACTTCCCCATTCTGGCAAAGGAAACAGACTTCCAGGAAATCCAGGAAGCTCAGAGAGTCCCAAAGAACTTGGACCCAAGAAGGAACACACCAAGGCACATCATCATTACATTAGCCAAAATTAAAATGAAGGAGAGAATCCTAGAAGCAGCAAGAGATAAGGGGACTGTCACCTACAAAGGAATCCCCATCAGACTGTCAGCAGATTTCTCAAAAGAGACCTTACAGGCAAGAGGGGCTGGAAAGAGGTATTCCAAGTCATGAAAACCAAAGATCTACAACCAAGATTGCTCTACCCAGCAAAGTTTTCATTTAGAATGGAAGGACAGATAAAGTGCTTCTCAGATAAGACCAAATTCAAGGAGTTCATGATCACCAAGCCCTTATTATATGAAATGTTAAAGGGACTTACCTAAGAAAAAGAAGATAAAAAAGATGAACATTGCAAGGACAGCAAACTCACAGTTATCAACAACCACACCTAAAACAAAAGCAAATTAAGAGGACAGCTAGATCAGGAGTGAACCATAGAAATGAAGATCACGTGGAGGATTAGCAACAGGGGAGTGGAAGAAGGAGAAGGGGGGAGAAGGTACAGAAAATAAGTAGCATAGACAGTAATAGAAAATAGATAGGGGGGAGGGTAAGGATAGTATGGGAAATATAGAATCTAAAGAACTTGAGACACGTGGTCATGAACTAAAGGGGGGGAATGGTGGGGGAGGGGTGTGTAGGGTGGAGGGTAACTGGGGGGGAATAGAACAAATGTAATGGCATAATCAATAAAAAATAAATAAATGAAAATAAAATGTCTCCTGAGGGCCCGCAGAGCATCAAACCTCAGTTAGTCACAGGGGTATGTGCTCTATAATGCAGGTTTCCTTGGTTCCCCCACCCTCTTCCTCATTTCACTTGTTTCTCTTAATGGTGCCTCCAGGGAATCAGTTCCTGAGTGAGTCACCTATAGCTTTTTAACTTCAGAGGTATAATCAGCTAAAAATTTTCCTTTTGAGTACTTTTGTTTTGCCAGACATCTCTCCTAACTGAGCACCAAAGAAGGCCTCCATGAGAGATGACAGAAGTTGTTGTTATACCCAGGTGGGACTGAATTTCCCAACAGGACCTGAAACTTGACATCAGGAACTGGCCCATGTGTCTGCTGAATGACTCCAGGACATGGTGGTGGGTGAAGAATGTGGCCAGCAGGGTAGGCTATGTGCTGTCCAACTACATCAAGAAGCAGATCAGCATGAAGAAGGGCTCCCTCATGAAGAATCCAAAGGAAACACAAGGCCCTCAGCAAGACCAAGAGGAAGACCAGGGTTGGGAGATGTCCCGAGATCCAGCACAAATGCTGAGTACCACGCCAATAAGAGCATGCCAACTGCACCTCTGATCTCAACATCCTGGACTTTTCAAGTCTGTCGACATGACTGTGAAGGTAGACAAACTGTCTCTTGTGATGGAGTTGCATGTCACTGTTACGGGGAAGTGCAGCAATGGCTGCTGGCATGGTGGCTGCAACAGGCAGTTGAGCTGGTCTCCCTCTAACTACATCCTAGAGGAGGTAGAAGAGCTGGTCTCTGGATTCCCCAGCTTCTTAGCCTGCTGAAAGGCTCACCTGAATAATGGCCAGGACACCTATGTCCTGCATGTGGTCCAGACACTGTACACTTTCATCTTGTCACTGAGAATCTCACATTCCAGAAGGGAGAGACCTTGGAATTAATTGAGAAGCCAAAAAATGACCAGGAGTGATGGAAATGCAAAGACACTGGGGGCAGATCAACCATGTCTACCAACACTGGTGGTGGTTGTCACTTATGGGCCACCCTGTCCCTGTTGTATGTCCCACAGATCAGCTACCTGAGGAAGGGGCAGGAGGCACTTCACAGTCAGAGACTGGTACTATGGTCATGATGTACCACTGGGCTGGGTGCACCCTTTGTGATTCTTCTCCCCCAAGGTGTATGAGCAGGTCGATCAAACCATTTGGGCTGATGGGACCTCAGGTAAAATGGTTAACATCTAGCCATAAAAATTAACATAAAAGATGGGACATAGATCCCATGAAAGAAATAATATCCCCTTAAGAAGGAAGCATTAAAGGGGATTCAGCCAATATTACAAAATTTTTAATATCAGGTCATGCCAATCCCCTAAACACTTCCATTTTGCTGAAGAGCCACACTATTAATGAGTATTGATTTGTACATAATCTTAGCACCATACGACATTGTTCAGGACATTCATCCTATGGTTATCAACCCTTATACTCTATTAACCGTGGTGACTGGGGATAGCCAATAGTTTTCAGTACTTGACTTGAAAGATGCTTTTTTCTGCATCCCAATAGATGAACAGGCTCAGCTACTATTTGCCCTGGAATGGCAGAACCAAGAAACTAAAGCCATGCACCAAACTGTTGGACCATGTTACCACAAGGATTTAAGAACTCTGTGAGTATACTTTGGGAAGAATTAGTAAAGGACTTATGGAATATTTGATTGAAATGAGGAGTTCTTTTATAATGCATAGATGACTTACTGATAGCTAGCAATATCTATAAAGACCATTTACTTAATACCATCATAGACCTGAATCATTTGGCAAAAAGAAAATATAAACTATCCCATCACAAGACCCAGATTTACAAGCAAGAGTGACATATGGGTTTCAATTGAAACAGGGTACTAAGGGATTGATGGTGGATAGAAAACAAGCAATTGCTCCAATAAAAATCCCAGAGAACTGGAGGCAGCTTCATGGGTTATTAAGGACTATAGCATTCTGATGAATTTGCATTCCAGACTTTGGATTATAGCAAAACCACGGTATAATTCCTTAAAATGACTGAACTCTGAAACTTTTGAATGATCAAGAAATTGTCAGATAGCATTTGATACCTTGAAGAAAAGTTAGTTTCAATTCCTATAGTAGGATCACCCAATTAAAAAAAAAAATTCAAATAATACATTCATGAAAGATAAAGGACTGGACTGAGGTTACTAATCCAAACTTTGGGAAACATCCCCCAACCCATAGCCTATCTCTCAAAGAAATTGGATCACATGACAAAGGGATGCATTTAGGCAGTGGCAGCTACCTGTGACAGCTTACAGGAAGTTGAGAAGTTCACTTTGGGGCAGCCTACTATGGTATACATATCACACCAGGTCCTAACTCTATTGGAACAGAAAGGAGGGTATTGGCTGATGGCAGGGCACATGGGAATATACTAGGTCATTCTGTTAGACAACTCAAATGTTATCTTACAGACTACTACAACCTTGAACCTGGCTACCCTGCTCCTGGACTCAGAGGGAGACCCAGCCC